AGCAGTAGCAGCAGCAGTAGCAGTTATTACTATTTATATTATTATTATTGTTAGTAGTAATTCTCCTTTTTTGTTATGAGTAGTAGTGTTGGTAGGAATGGTAGTACTGGTAGTAGTGGCAGTAGTGGGGTAGCTATGGTTGTGGTGGTGGTGGTGGTGGTGGTGGTATGGTGGTGGTGGTATGGTGGTGGTGGTAGCGGCAGTAGTGAGTAGTGGTCCTGGTAGCCGCGATAGTAGTGAGAGTCGTAGTGACATAGTGGTGATAGTAGTGGTAGTAGCGGTAGCAGTTGTAGTGGTAGTAGTGGCAGTCGTGACTTGGTGGTAGCAGCAGGAGGAGCTGCTGGTGGTGGTGGTGGTGGTGGTAGTGGTGGCGATGGCAGCAATATGGTCGTGACGAGAAATGCCATCTCATCATCAATTCGAGAGTTTTGTTTGGTTCCAGGCTGTTGACTTCGAGTCTGGCATTGGGTGCCCTCGCTGCAGGAAGGCTCCCGGTTTTTTGTGTTCGATCTTTTGGAGTGTGTGTGAGTGTGCCACTCCCATTCTTTCAACCTGCTTCCGGTTTTGTGACTGAGCATGGCAGAGCATCTGTATTTTTCGACCTGTGACGGCCCGCTGCGGCTCCTCAGGCTAGTTCGGCGGATTGAATACTGAATGCGAGTGAAGCTTGATCATGCTTGAGCTAGCGAGACATCGTGGCGCTCGCTGGTGTCACTGTTTGACAGTTGCGGCCCGGGCATTTGGGCACCAGTGCAGGTTTCTCGGCCAGCGTAGCTTCGAAGCTTTCTCGCACGGTCCCCGGCAAGAGCATCATGTCACCATGGATCAGCAAAGCTTTGGAGAGCTCATCATGCCGGCCCAGTGGCCATCGTTGAAGTAAGCAGAAGGCTGAAAAGCATCTATCTGTCGCCTCTCCGAGGATGACGAACGTCGCTGCTCCGGTTCGGGGACCCTGGCGATCCCTGAAACAGAAGCTGGGCAGCCACCCTACGCAGGCGGAGTCCTTTGTCCTTTGGCTACAGGTTGAGGGTGCGGTCATGGACGCCAGGCCTCCATTGCAGCGCTGGAGGGGACTACACCGCAATGCCTGGCAGATCGCTCGGGTATCTTGTTTTGACCTTGCAGTCTGGAAATGGTTTGTCAAGCACTTGGAAGTGCTGTTGTTGACATAGGCATACACTTGGCAGCGTGTGTTGCAGCACGGTCAAGATCTTCGTCTCTCGGTTCACAGGTGTCTTCGATCCAAGACCTGGAGGGCACCTGGCACGTCACCAGCCCGCAGGTCCGAGAGTGTCTGAGCAGCTGATGCTTGTGGAACCCGTTGACCAGAGAGACATTGTCTGCTGCAGGAAAACGCTCAGAAAGGGTGGCGGGCTTGGAAATCGCAATGTTCGGTTTTCGCGTGGGAGCTTTGTACCAGAACATGCACCAGAACATGCGAGAGATGTGGTTGAGGTTGCTGCACGGAGACGTTCCCCGCATGCTTCTGAATCTCTACACCGGCGACATTGGGAGGAGCCATACCACCCACCACTTCAGCATTCCCCAACTTCTGCTCAGCTCACAATCAGCTCGGGTTGCTGAAGCACAGGATGCTGAGCATGGACGTCGTTGCTTCCCCGGTGCTGCACATCGCCGCGGACGGGCGCACTACCACCGAGACACAGCTGAGGTGGGATGTTGCTGAGCCTTTCAGAGAGCCCTTCTTTTTGGAGTTCTCCACAGGTGGGGCCAACAGCAGGACCACATCACACTCCAAGGCCGCCTTCAGCTCGTCGGCCCCAACCGCCTCCGGGAGGCGATGCGCGGGCTTCCATCTCTCCGAAGTCTCGCTCTCTCTCTCTCTCTCTCTCTCTCTCTCTCTCCCTCTCTCTCTCCGTGTCTGCGTTGGAGCGCTGCCAGAAGCCGAAAGCCACGCGATCAGATGCGCTGAAGCTGACAATGCCCGGAACCTAGGGACCGGCAGTTGGGTGGACGCGTGGCCCACAGGGGCCCAAACTGCTCAGACACCGAGGCCAGCGATGCAGAGAGATCGGGAGATGAACATCACGTGACCCAGCCAAGCGCTCCTTCGGGCTCGGCTTAGGGCGTCGGCTCCCGCGTCTCTCTGGCTCTGTCTGGCTCTGGGAGGTACTTCGACGGTAGTCTCCTGATCTTGCGGGACTCGCGTGGCATCGTGGACGTGCTCTGGCGCGAGGCGATGCCGGCTCGCGGTCTCTGCACGGCGCACGTGAGTCTGGCGGTTGGGGGTTCGTTTTGGGTATTTGTTTTGTTGTTTTCGGTGTATTTTTGTTTGGGTTTTCGCCTGAATAGATTCGAGCGCCCAGGCCAGTCAGTCGGTCAGTCGATCCGGCGGTCGGTACGCAAGCACGCCGGTTTGTCAGACAGTCGGGCGGTCGGTCGGTTGGTCCATTCGCCATTCGCCGAGCGCCAGGCAGTCAGTCAGTCGGTCCGCCAGTGTTTGATATATCTGATGAGCCGGAATCGCCAAATGAGGGGCATGTTTAAGATATATGGTGAACCGGAATCGCCACATGAGGGGGGCGTGTTTAAGGTATGGTGAACCGGAATCACCAGATGAGGCGACATGTTTAATAAATAAATATATAAATAAGAAAAAAAATATATATATATATATGTATGCACACTTACGGTGAACCAAATGTGGGGGCGTGTTCAAGACATACGATGAACCGTTGTTGCCAAAGGAGGGGCAATGTTTTCTAGATGTATGATGAACCGTTCTCGCCAATTCAAGGAGCGTGTTCAACATGTATGATGTCAACATGTATGATGAACCGGGATCGCCAAACGAGGGGGCATGTTTAAGATATAGGACAAACAAACAGGAATCGCCGAATGAGGGGGCGTGTTTAAGGTATGTGATGAACCGTTATCGCCAAGTGGGGGGCATGTTTAAGACATATGGTGAAACGGAATTGCCAAATGAGGGGGCGTGTTCAAGAGATATGATGAACCGTTGTTGCCAAAGGAGGGGCCATGTTTTTTTGCATGATGAACCGTTCTCGCCAATTCAAGGAGCGTGTTCAACATGTATGATGAACCGGAATCGCCAAACGAGGGGGCATGTTTAAGATACAAGACAAACAAACCGGAATCGCCAAGTGAGGGGATGTCGTTAAGATATGTGATGAACCGGTATCGCCAAATGAGGGGGCATGTTCAAGATATATGATGAACCGGAATTGTTTAGGATAGATGATGAACCAGAATCGCCAAATGAAAGGGCGAGTTTAAGATGTGATGAACCGCCAGTCCCCTTGGATTGCGTTTGCCAATGGGGGGGCTGCGCCACCCCCAACCCCCCCGCTTTCTTGAGCCCTGCGAACGTGCTTTAGTGAATGTCGTACCTTCAAGAACGCTGTTTGGTCATTTGCGATTTCAAGTCAAAAACATAACTCTTATGAGGCCTTTCAAAACCCGTCCTGGAGGCCCAAACCCCCCCTTTTTGGACCGTGCAAGCTTGCTTTAAAGAACATCGTGCCATCAAGAACGTAAAGCCATATAGCCGAGACGCCCAGAGCTGAACTGGCACGGAAGGCAACCGGGAAGACTGGCGGGGCCGGACCGTCGGATTTACACACTGAGTGACCGATCGAGGGCCGAAGACCAGTAGGCCGAAAACAATAAAAATACACCAAAAGACGCATACAGCCTCAGTTGTCACAATCCCTGTGACTCGTGCAAGTTTTGCATATGGATCGAACCGAAAACCAACACAATACACAGAACAAAACCCAAAAAGCTACCAAAAAAACACCTGGACCCGAGTCTGGTCGCACAGGTGGTGCTGCGTTGGGTGATGTCTTTGGAAAGCCAACCTGGCGTGGATCGACGTGTTCTTCTGAACAACAACTGGGGATACAAACTAAAGCAGATGGGCAACATAGAGCGGGGTGGGTCCATGCACGAAATAATTTTCTGATGTTGTCGCAAAATTTGATCGTGGAGATTTTAGTGCGAGGGACCTGTCAGAATGATCAACTCAAGCCTTTAATCAATAAGTCTCTGAAGCATACTCGGTTGATCTACATGCTAGTGTCAGCAAGAGGAAGGGACCAATTAGCCCACTTCTATTTTGCGGCTTACCGTTGCCAGCCACTGCGGATTCGCCCAGCACAAGAAGAAGTGGTGGTCGCCAATGCAACCTGCGCACGGATCTCTTCAACAGCCGACCCAAGAAGCTGGCATCTCCACGAAAACGATGTGAGGCATCGCAACTCACCAAGAGCCAGGTAGGCGGGCAACCGTGAGGAAAACCAGACCTAAGGCAACAACACCATGCAAGCAATAGCCAGTCTCACTGCATGATGTGGGGCTGCATGAATCGGAATCAGCATCTGCAGTGCCAGCACATCCCTTCGGAATGGCCTAAGTAGGAGGTGAGCGCACCTGGGGACATTGTGTGAAAGTGCGGGCAGAAGCGGGCAAAGAGCACGGATGCTTGTTCCCTTTGCCTTCGTTGTTCCCGTTCCATGCCTGCAGGAGATGGAACTGGTGGAGGAGGACGAGGATCTGCCACCACTGGACCCTGCAGGCCTGGAAGCACCGTTGCCTGTCACGACGTGGCCTCTTTGACGTTAACGCCGTTAAAGTTTCTCTGGTTTTTGCATGTTTTTGGCTCATTTTCGGCAAAAACATGAGGGTGCCTTGGATACACCTTCAGATCTGTTATATCAGGCTCGGGACTCTAGCAAGAGACCCAAAAAGCCATGGTAGAATCTCAGTAGAAGACAAGTAGAGAAGAAAAGTAATAGGGTGCGCGAGCGGTGGATCCGTGCAGCTGTCGCACTGGCGATGGTTGGAAACAACTCTTGCGAGCAGAGCAGCTGCGGCAGAAAGGCTAGCATGCGACGACGAAAGCAGGGCGAAGGGAACCAGCCAGAACAGCACTGCATGCGCTTGGGGGCCTCCCAAGAGCCGGCAGCCGTCACAGAAAGACCACCCAGCGATGCAGCAGCAGCAATAGCAACAGCAGCAGACAGGACGAGGTAGCGCGGAGCAGTCGCGCCATGCGCCGGGGCACCCCCTTAGCAGCACCCAGCGAGCGGCACCAAACAGCACCGAGGGGCCCAACCATGAAGGTGGACGACCTGAAGATGCGAGCGAACGTTTGAAAGCTGCAGTGCAGGAGGCTAAAAAGGCAAAGGGGGCGGCCATGGGTGGAGCTGACGACTGCACCGACTGGATAGTTCGAGTGCATGTACGAGAAAGCCTGCCGAGACTTTTCCTGGGCAGCTCAATAAGACGGGCCCGGAACGGCAGCGTGCTGGAAAGGGAGAAGCATGCGGAAATTCAAACAAGCCAGCCAAGGCAACTGCCCCGCGTTGTCTGGCAATTTTGCATTTGCTTGCATATCCCTGGTGCCGAGAAGTTTCGTTTCCTCGCTAGCACTCCCCGCTTCCAGAAGAGGCAGTGCACCTCCCACGCCGGTGAACCAGGCACGCAGTTGCAGGATGACGCGTGTCAATGCAGTGACGCGAATTGTGTGATGGACAGGTTTGCGTCGGCAGCTATCTTGTGATTGTGATGCCCCCTTTGCAGCCGTAAGCTTCAGATGCTTTAGCACTTTAGCCATTGCCCACACTATTGCTGGCTGCCTCATGCTGCAGAGTGCAGGGCAGTGTGTCGTGTGCAGGTCGAAAGCCTCTTAGTCAACGTCAAAACCCTGTCCAACTCACTGGAGGCATCGGGGTCTCCTGGCAGTCTTTGTTTGGTTCTGAGAACGCGGCACCTTCGTCTCTTGAGCAGACGGACTCGTGACTTCGTACTTGTACCGCAGCAACGAGTAGCTTCTAGACATTCAGCAGTTGTGCACGAAGAGGAGCTTCGCAATCAATCCAGCCGCGACAAGAAGGCCTGATAGAATGCGTGTCACAGGACTCGACGTTCTGCTGCCCAACGATTTGCAAACGAGATACTTCCCCCGTGTCAACCGCGCAGACAGACCTGTGTACGTGAATCCAGATGTCGAGCCTGGATACGGCACCAGACTCCGTGTACATTGCAGTGCTGGCTTACCCCGACCTAAAGAGCTGGAGTCATGGAAGCCACCTGCCAGGTTCGCCTCACGCTTTCAGACGAGATCGTGAGGTTTCGTCCTTTGCGCTGATGTGCTGTGAATCTGAAAAAGCCTTCATGGAGCCCAGGTTTTCAAACACTCCCAAAAGTCAGGAAGATGTCACGCAACTTTGTGTCGAAGGCTGGAGAAGGAGCTGGATACAGTGACGGCCGCTGCACGGGCCGATTCTGCGACTGGGGCCTGCAAGACTTGGATCCTAGGACTTTTTGGCGAGGATTACTTGTCCCGCTCTCCTGCCCTGAAGGCAGCCGCCGGCAAATCTCAAATTTACCCAGCGAGTCAGGTGTGGGTGTCCATCCATTGCTTGTACCTGCCCGACTGCGTGCACGCACACAAACACTTCACCCGTCCCCATGCCGCCCTTTCCCAAATCTCAAAGGCAAGACATACGACGTAGCAAGCAGCTTTTCCCAAACTAATTGGGATCAACTCCCAGCGGTTACTCCTTCCAACAAAGCTTGCTTCTCGTGCCTCGCCCCCGTAGTCGCCACTTGCATGTACTGTCCAAAAACGAAGCCAGAAAGAAACAAACCCTCTGCCTAACCACAACTCCCTGCGATGGCCAGAAGAATTTGCTGCCTTTCATCGTTGGATTTTGTGCAGCAAAGTAGTGAAGTAGTACTGGCCGATCAGTAGCAGTTTGCAATGTCTACCGGCTTCCACTCCTTCTGACACTTGTTCTACTCGTGTAACGATGCTTTTTCCAGCCTCGGGCGGAGCTTTCTGAGGGGTTCTGTGAGTCTTGCTTCGGGTGTGCTTTAAGCAAAGGTCGCGGTGAAGGCGATCGAGCGGCTCGGAGAGAAGGACGCCCTGTCTCGGAACAGCTTGGGTCATCCGGTAGATAGGAATCAGAAAGTCAGGTCCCCTTCGCAGGTCAGAAAGTCATAAGTTTAAACGCTGGTAAGAGCCTCTTGACTTCTTCACTGCTCGATCCATTTGGCGAGTCGTCCAGCTTGATGAATTGAGATGTCTGTTTGGCCTGAATGCATGCGATGGTATCGAGCTTCATGTTTTTGCACGGCTGCAGCTCACAGCAAAGACAGGTGTCCGGCATATTCGAGGCTCAGAAAGAAAAGACGAACGAGAAGGCAAGTCTGAGACGCAAGTGCTTCGTCTAAATGGCTGCCGCAGATTCCGTATGGAACGTACGTGCAGACGCGATGGCAAGCCTGCTGGTGTGAAAGCAGTCAGTGTATTTTTGTTACGTACCCGTGTGCACAGACACAGAACTACGATGCTATGCAGCTCGAGATGGCGAGTCCACGCCTCAGAAGTTCTGGAGAGTCTGCGAAACTTGAGCGGGAGGTAGTTCTTCCGGTTCATTTTATCGTATGCGATTTAGAGGTATGATTTCTTGAGCGTTCCATTGCTGTAGCCCGAGAATCTGGCACCCCGAGGCCTTCGAGCTCGTGCGGAGGAGCTGGAGTCCAATGTCTCGAGGTCTGTCTTTTGATCTGCAAGATCGCCTTGACGCCGATTGCTGTGCGGTAGATGTCAGCCTGAAAAAAAAGGTAAGGAGCAGCAGCGGGTAAACGGTCAAAGAAAGGCGAGCCGCTAGGAGCTGGAAGCAAATGGTAAAAGAAAAGGTAATCCAAGGGCAAATGAAAGCTGATAACTTGTGGCAGTCTGCCATGTCTCTATCCGTTATGCAAGATGTAGCTTGCCTTCAATATGTCGCTTTAAATCGCATGTTGGATTACAGATTCATCTGTTTCTACTTTCATGTGACCCCTTTGGTCAGAACGGGTGCTGGCCCTGAGAAGCTAGCAGTAAGCTCTGCAGCATTTGGACTTCTGACTGGCAGGTTCCGCGTGCGCGAGTCCAATCTGAAAGAGGAGATGCAGGTGTTGCAGAGCGATCGTAGAGCAGGCTGGGCCGGAGTGAGCAGAAAACTTCATAGGAGTCAGATCAAAGATTTCTCAAGGTTTCCAGGTCCGGCAAAAATTGGTGATTGTCAGCTAGAGGGATCGAATGCACATCTTAACGCTAGACTAAGACCAGACGCTCGAGGCAAGCGACATTCCGACGAAGCGGCTGCCTACCGCGCAGCCATGGAGAAGGCGAGTGGGGGCTCCGGGCTCGGGAAAGGGGTGGGTGGGCAAGGCACGGCCCTGCTCTGAAATCACTTTGTCAGGCACATGACGAGCTTCGTACGGTGAGGAACGAGCTCAAAAGTGCTACCAAGGACGGAGCCTGCTGCGACCATGGCTGCCTGGGGTACAGTATTTCTTACAAGCATGCTCCTGGGAGTACGTTGCCGGGATACCATGTTGTGTACTGTTGTTGCTTCCAAAATGCTTCAGTTTGTCCACACTTGAAGGAGGTAGGGCGTTTGTCGCACCAGCTCCGTGAGAAGAGTGCGATGCCGGCACACTTGCCCTGCATCGCTTCCAGTGGGCCGGCTCGCGGGCTGTCAGGGTGTTTTGTCAATTTGCAAAGAGCACCATAGCGGGAAGAGTCAACTGGCGAAGGAGACATCTGAATACAGAGTGATTCAGTCAGCACCTTGCCCAGACACTGTACTGTAGGAGGATTGGCATTGGGATTTTCCAATGTCTGTGAAGATGTCGTGTGGTTCATGTCGACAAAAATACAAGTTGAAAGCAACCGGATGAGCAAAGGAGCAAGGAACAACATAGAAGCGTGTGCCACGGCTTCTCTGAATAGCTTTTGGAACAACAAGCGAACAGCCTATTTCGGCCTCCCCGACAGCATGACGATTAGATGTAGGTGAAAGCGCAAGCCCATGCCTGAGCACGAGAAAGCTCAACGCAAGCATTCAAACAGTCACAGCGCACCATCAAATGCCACAAGCACGCTTTTTTGGGCACGAGCGCGAAGCTCTTGGAATGCCAGGTTGAGCTGGATAGGGTGCAGAAGGCCATGGGTGCGGAGATCGACGCACCTGGACAGCAACAAGGTGATAAAAAGTATCGGTTTTGATGCACCAGTTTCTCTTGCTACTTCCGGGCTCTTCCTTCTTCGAACGCTTGCCATGCTTGCCATTTCGCAGTCGCTGTCTGAAGCCAGGCACGGAAGAGGACCAAGGAGCCTGGGTGTGAGTGAGTTTGGTTCATGCCTGAATCTGCCCTGTGGTGCCTTCCTTCGGAGGCTCAGCTGCTGAACAGCTTTCATGATGTTGTCAGGACCAACTTGATGACCAGCAACGCGGCTACGAGGAGGAGTGGGATGGAGATTCCTGTTATCGTGCTTGCCAAGATTGTGTTTCGGCGGCCAGGGCTGCCTCTACGAGTTGGGAAGGGAAGCACGACAATTCCAAAAGCCGGACATGTAAAGCGAAGCACACGAAAGCCCAGAAACGCACTAAAAACGATGAAGAGTCATGGCAGGCCGCAGCACAAGCGATGAGCGGAAGCCATCCAAATCGTTGACAGGAAAACTGATCTTGCTGTACGTTGCAATGGGAGCACTTTTTTCGATCGAGCGACGTCCCTACTTTTGTTCGGCTTGTGCGACATCTGGTACTCCTACATACATGCTGGCAGTGAAGGCTCAGGGCAGCGTTCCGAGAGCCCATCTTCGTGCTCTCATCCGAGCGCGCGTGAGCGAGTAAGCGCGACAGTGTGTATTTTAACTAAAGTCGCGTGCAAATTGCTGTTTTGCACCTAGACACGCGACGTGTCGAGTGTGCTACCTGGAAAACTGCTGCTCTGCCCGAGAACAAACGAGAACACGAAATCGAACACACCGCACTGTAGAGCACCGCGGTCCTGAATCAGTGCTTGCACTGCTTCCTTTTCGGCCAGGCACGGCAGAGACTTGCCCGTGCCGGAGAAGTCGAAGCTGCCGGCACCTTTTTTGCTTGGGTTGCTTGGGGCAGGGGAGCGGGAGGCCACCCGAGTGGCCAAAATGGCGGCCGAGGCTGTGTACGCACACGTACTTGTATTTTGCCTCAGGCCCTCCGGCAAGAACTGGCGAATGTGCGCTCGGAGCTTGAAGATCTCGAGGAACGAGAGGCCAGCAGCTCTCCGTGAAGAGCAGACTACCAGGGTCTCACTCAAACTGCGGGCTCTGTATGAGAAGCCCTGAGCGTTTTAGGAGACTTTCTCTCTAAGGAGTTTTAAGGATGGAGGGATCCCAAAAAAGCAGGCGGAGCAAGCTCGATGGATTCAACTCTATGCGGTGCCCCTCGAAAAAAGTAAAGCTTAACGCAGCCACCCGAAGCTCGCCACCTAACAACTCAACGTTTGTGGCCAGACTAACCTCATCACAATACTTGGAATATCATGGTTTGACCATTGCCGTCATCGGTCATGAATGGCAGTCCTGCCACTATCAAGTTTCCTCCGTTGGAGGCCAAGAGCAACGAGATGGCGGCGGACATCGAAGAGGAGATGAACCAGTTGGCAGACCGGGCCTGCATCAAGGGGTGTTGCAGCATTGGACCTAAAGCTTCCAAGAACTTTTGAGGGCTCAGAAATTGAGCAACCCGGTGTCTTTTTGCTGAAGCTTCAATGAGCAGGGAAAAGTATTCGCTTCCCACCTCCCGGTTGGACTGTGCGCTGAAAGTTGCACAGGTGAGGGAAGCCAAGAAGACAATGAACGACTTGGGCGAGAAGAAGAAGCGTCGGTTCTGGGTGCGCCCTGCATTCTGAGCTCCGGAACCTTAGTCTTGCCGCATGAAGTTTGCCAAGCTGGCGCGTTGTGCAGTACATCTTGTCACAGCATGTTCATCATATGAGACCACTGATGAGTGAAGGTGCTTTCGGTAGGCTTGTGTAGAACGGTGCTTGCAAGCATCTGTAAATCTGCAACCTTGTCTCCTGCCTGCCAGCCGTTCCGCTAAAGCGCGGGGAAAATCAGATCCGATCTTGCCCGGTGCCTACCCGCAACAGTCGGCTGCAGAGTGTTTACCTTTCATACCTCTTACATGAATGTGCATGCAAGCATACGTGCATACGGACAGACTTACATGCATGTGCATACATGCTTACATGAATACATGGAACCGAGTGAGGGCGAAGGGGTAGTTCTCGCGATGCAGGGCTTCAGCTCCGATTCTGGCCATCTTCAAGAGATGGGGGTAAGTTTCCAGGCCCAGGGTGTGATGAACGCAATGTCGCGAGGAATAACACGTCCGGATGACTTTTTGATCTACTGTACGGATGATCCTCCTGCCAATTCTCCCAACATTCGGACTGCAGATGGATGCTGGAATGAGCTTGTTGGCCGAGGCTGCGAAATCGCCGAGAGGTGACGGTGCCACAAGTGCAGCCTTAGCAAAATTGTTTAAAAACGTTCCGTTGTTCGGCTGTTCGTGATGCAATGTCTGCACAGATCAGCTGAACCAGCTTTGAGCGCGGGAAGGCGGAGCAAGGGCATTTGAGGAGAGCGCCCCTGCACCCTCAGCCACTTTGCTAGACTGCGTCTCAGTTTAGCGCGGAAACAGCCTCAGTTGGGCGTTTGAAAGTGCTGATGGCCGTCTGCGTGCTGTTTCCAGTTCCAGCCTTGAGAGTGGAAGGCTTGCCTGCTACGGTCTAAAGCAAACGGTTTCCACGCAGTGGTGGCAGCCTTCCCTTATGGACGAGAGCCCGAAATGGCCGTCTCATTGCAGTGCGAGAAAGGGCAGGGGTACCGAGTGCTGAACCCGGCTGTGACATTGAAGGGTCCCGGCAGCATGAGCCCTTGCACATCTCCGCAGCGCAACCGTTGTAAATAGGCTCGCGAATCGAATTGCGGACAATGATCGTGTGTGCGTCTCATATTCCGAGTGGGCCCTAAGCCGCCAGCATGATTTTCGATCATCCTCGATCAGAAACTTTTCTGGAACGACTGAAAGATGCAGACCACGTGCAGTTTTAGACTTGCAGTGATGGCCGGAACCTTATGGGCAGAAGGCGCATGCCTCAGAGACTTTCTTATCGTACGACGTCCGTCGTCGGCCACGAGCTGTCGGAGTTTGCAGCCACGTGAGGCGTGCGTGCGCTGTTCGCTGACGAGTACACTTCCGCAGTGAAGCTGCGCCGGTCCAAGATGTAGCAGTGCAGGACATCGATCTTGCAATCAGCGGCAACCAAAACTTGTAGAGCAACCCTGCGCTGCCGCTTCCCAGGTTTGCTGCTTCCATCCAGGACAGACCGCAAAGTACCGGTTTTTCTGCAGAGACTTCTTTACTCCGGAGGGCCTGCACGTGATCACGGCATAGCATCACATTCCCTCTCAAACGGGTGGTTGCACCGCACATGACATGTGTACGCAACGAGTTGAAGACCAATTGGAAAATTGACATATTGTGGTCAGCATCGTATTTACGATGACGGCTGCGCCCGTGGAAGCGTCACAGGTGAGTCGACTCCTTACCGGATTCGTGAGTGCATGTGTGGACTGTTATCGAGACGATTCCCGCCCTCCCCCACCCCCTTTCCTTTGCCGCTGCTACGCCTGCCCTGCATGGTGCAATGACGTTTTCGGAGCGCCGTGGCTCACTTGCGTCTTGACCCTCGCGTGTAGAGACAATGGGAGTGGCTGTCCCCTTGCCGGGGTTTGACCTCTCTCTCTCTCTCTGCAGAGACTGGCAGCTGACGAGGAGGAGCTGGTGGAATCGAAAATCGCGGCGAGGCTGTGTAATCCTTAGAGGAATAGAGTTGCAGCCGGAATTCCGACCTTTCTGCCTTGGCTGCTTTGCGGTTAGTCTCTGTGTGCTGCCAGGCGTCTACACTTCTTGGCAGAGATGCTGCTGGACAGTGGCCATCTACTGGAAGCTATCAGGCGTTGACATCGGGTGAAGGAAGCTATGGCAGGCTATTCAGCGTGTCCTATGGCAGGGCTATCCTCACCTGCTCTGCCATACACTTTCCAGGGAGCTTTCGCGAGCATGCATTCGTCAGTTTGAACTGAACACCGTCGCACTTTGCCCCATCTGAGTGGAAATCGCGCGATCTTCGAGCATGTTTACCCGCCAAGAGTACAAAGTGTAGTATGTGCACGAAAGAGCATGGCCCCGTTCCACGGTACAACAGCTTGTTCGTCGGGCACATTTTGCCAGGCACTTGCAGCAGGCGGTGAAGATGGATCCAGACTTGAAGGAGGCTGAGCAGATCTTACCAGTCTTATGCGGCAGGCAGCTACGCAAAAAAATGACTTACTTCGCAGCGTTGCCCTGTTGAGGCCCACATTGCCCTGTGTATGTCACTCGAGGAGGCACTCCAGCATGGTATCGTTGCAGTGTTCAGCCTCTGCAAAAAAGGGCTGCTTGAGGGCGGACGGGACTGCAATTGAGTTTTGCTTTCGGATTAGGCAAGATTAAACCCGATACTCCTGCAGGTTCGGGACGATGATGGGCTCCGAGCTGCGGTGGCGGCAGCCATCGTGGAGGGTGGCCTCTGGTCCTCGCCAAGGCTCTCTCCCGGTCACGGAAGCATCGTCTAAGGAATCGCCTTGTCGTGGCCAAACAGCCAACGCGGAAAACTTCTGCGGCGTTTTCTGATTTCTTTTTCCCATTTGCATGTTGGGGGCCTCGACCCGTGGCAAATCGAATCCTGTGGTGTTCGAGCACGAAGGCGTTGCTGATGGCATAGTCTGGCAGGCAAAGGCTTCGAGACCACCACAAGGACGGCTTCTACAAGCAGCGCAAAATTGAAGCTACGACTAAGACTAAGAAACAGTTAGGCTGCCACGTGCTTGACGAAAGAATCATCACCATTGTGTGAAGGTTTGACCAATGCAAGCCCGGCCGAAGTCCAGTTCCAAGATACTCAACTGTCGCTAAACCCTAGTCCCCCGCCTGATAATCCCCCTCCTGAAGCTCCGATGATGATACAGGCAACGTCCAGCCGCGTATTTGCCAGATCTCGCCTGGATCCCATGGTTCTCGGAATTCTGTGCGCCAAGGCTTGGATCAAAGCAAGCATTGACTCTCGGTTGTTGCGGGTTTTGGTTGACTTCGGCTCCCAAGAAGAAATCACGAACGGCCGGCGCTCGCGCTCAGGCGTCCCAGCCTTTCTGGGATCCGAAGATGTTTCCCTGGGTCCAGGCATGGAGCTGACGTGCATCCGATCCACTGCAGGTAGAGACTCCGAGTCTGCTCAGAGCTGCTACGTTTACTTCCAGGGTCCGCGAAACCACGGAGATTCGCTGCCCCAAACTCCCGCTTAGCCAAGCTCGCGACATCTTGCAGCAAGGGTGCCCCTTGCCGGCACGACTTGGTCACGACAATCGCCTTAGAAGCTAATTGTCGTGTTGAAAATGATATAATAGTGAAAAACAGCTCTCACGCAGAGGCGCTGGAGGCCGCCTCGCCTCGGATGCGTCGTGAGCTCGAGGTGTGAAGCTTAAGTTTGATGGCGGCTGAGGGGCAATCTCGGTGACGGGGCTGCTTTCTCCGGGCATTTCAGGACCAATTTTCGGGATCAGGGCCAGAGCTTGGCTCGAGGCAGCTCCTGATGAACAACGAACACAGATCTTGCCAGCGATAGTTTCTTTTCTTCTGGGAATGTGGATTTCAATTTCTTCACGGCTCGGAGCGGGTGCATCAGATAAGTCTGGGATGCATGACGCAAAGTACAGTAGTGTTTCTGTTGAGATGATGCGATGCAAAGACAGAGCTCTCGTCTCGCTACGCCTGCTGCCTGCGCTGGCGGCAGCTCTTGCATGGTTTCAGCTGAAGGACGGCTTTTCAGGTCTTGACGCGGCCTTGAGTCCTCAACCCGCAATCCGACCAGGCGGAACAAGGATCGTAAATAAAAACTGAACCGAGCCCTGAAAACCCTAAACAGAAGCACACATAGGCCTCTAAGCACCCTGCAAGGATGCGAATTCCTTCGCTGCTCCGGCGTTCGGCCGGGAAGGGGTCGCTGAGCAGGGCAATTGCTGAAGTTTTTCAAAACGATGTTTGTGGAAGAAGGTCGTCATCCGAATTTCTTATTTCTAGTAACTCCAGTAGTTTGTGCTCCTTTAGACATGGTGCGCCTTCGAGGCAGATTCCAGCTTGGACGTTCTGCTGGGTAGACGGAGCGAGGGCAACGAGGTGATCGTCACCACCCTCGAGCGAGGAGATCGGCCAGCTGCTTACTGCAGAGGTCTTCGATCGCCCCTTCGCTTTACCGTTGAGCACCGAGGAAGACATATCCCTCAAAGGGTCATCGGGTCAGGCTGGGCGCCCTTCGATCCGGAAAACCGGGTAAATGAGAGAGCTGTGGCCAGGATCCTGTATGAAGGAAGGCTGGCCGCGACAGGCCGGCGATGGCACAAGCAGAAACCCGAGTGTTGGTGTTGTGCGAGAGTTAGGCGAAGTTTTCGATCGAAGCGGCGACGAAGGAATCATGTTCAGGCCAGGCCATGGGCCATAGACTGCAGGAGGGCTCCACCAATTGCATCTCGTTCTTCCAGCCTCCAAGCTTCCCAAACTCAGCACTCGTCCATGGTTGAGGCTCGGCAAGATCGGCCCTGGTAGCCAGATGCCAGGCTGGTTTGTCGGTTGCCGTGATCGTTTTGCAGCACCGGAGATTCACGCACAGGTTCACAGCACAGCAAGCCATATCTTCTGTGCCCTTGGGCCCTGACTCACGAACACATCTCTGACATTGCGGACCCTGCACAGGCTTTGAGGCAGCCGCGAGAGGCTCAGCTCGTCGTCATGTCACTGTTGTTAATCTCATAAAGCTGTGACACTGCGATTTGCAACGCCTTGAGAGCATCATGCGAGAATACCCGACAAGCAGGCAGGGCGATGCCCAATGAAACGCAATACACGTACAATAGTCGTATCTATATAAAATATGATTCTGACGAGCTTCACCGTAATTTCTGCGACGGCATTCCCACCCACATCTTAACTTCTGAAGCCCTTCTTTAGAAGCTTCCATGCCTTCGCACGCCGGGATGCATACATCAGTTCAAGTCAGACAGGACATGAGCTAGCTCTACTCGGCCCACCCCCGCCGAAATGCACCGTTTCGGTTTAAACATCCGCCTAGAGATATGAAAGGACAGCTCCTCCAAGTGCTAAGGACAGGTACTCTGACATAAGTCCATCCGCCCACGGCAGCTAGGGACACATTCATGAACATTGGCGTTGCGATGCTTCGGCGTGCTTTCAGTGACAGTTTGTGGGCGTAACTCTTGCCGTTCGATAGATTGTTCGAGAAGCTTGAGATGTTCGCCGGAGCGCGGTCGTCTGTCGCTTCGCCCTTGTTCATGGATTCGATTCTTGGCCCGCCAAGGTGTACCAGATGTCAAGAGGCGAGACGGCCCACGTCTGGATCCCCGCTTGCCAGGCTCGGCTTTGCCGCAGCGGTGCCCCTTTGGAGATCCAGCACCTGAGAGTCTGAGAGGCTTATGGCGCCGAAGGTGGTCAAGGCTCTGAGCTGCCGGTGCCGCCGGGGGCTGACCTGGAATTCCAGGCAAAGTGAAGACGCGTTGCGCAGCTGTGGTCATGTCCTGGCTTCATTGCTTCCGGAACCCGCCTGTCCAGGTGACGTTACTCTGGATCAGGTGCTAGAGTGATCAGGCCTTTGGCCAGAAAGCCCCTGCCATTTTCTGCTTTCTGAGCACGAATCGCCTGCACAAGCACCCAAGGTGCAGCAAGGCGGTTCTGTAGGATGTCGACTGAGCTGAAACCTACCCTAAGAACAACTGGTAGACTACAGAGCCTGGCTGTTTCAGAAAATGCACCTGTGTACGACAGTATGTAAGACTGCACCAAAATAGACTTTGTGGCAGGGTTTCCACGAATACAAGTTTAGGATTGCAGGCTGTGGGTTTCATGTCGAAGACTGGCTACACTCCTACGACCCGCCTGCACCATGATTTTGCTCTTTCAAGATGGATGTTGGCAGGGTCTTCGGTCACGACTGCAGGCCTTAGCAGCCTTAGCAAAAAAAGAGACTCAGAGTTTGTGGACAGCAACTTCAGAACGCTTCATGCAGGGCCGCTCTGGCATCAGAAAATCAAAAGCCCTCTTGCGACTTCGCTCTGAAGGAAATCCTGCCTCTTCTCGAGCATCCTCGCGGACCAAAGCCTCCCTGGGTGGGGGGCCCCGAGTGCTGCTTGTGCCTTGCTCAAGCTAGAAGCAACTCAGACCACACCTGAGTTTGAATGTATCGTTCTTTCAGAAGCAGCGCCGTCTAATAAAGTTCACCCAGAAATATCGCACCTCTCGCCGTCCCTCACCCGCTGAAGGCGAGAGTCGGCAGCGCTCTCAGGCCTTTGCTTCGGAGTGCTGGTCTGCTAGCAGAAAACGCAAGTCGGTGCTAGAATGCTCCGATCCAGTTATGAGCCCGCGGAGCTTCGTTCCGCGCGTGTCCGCGTCCCTTCACTCGTCTCCAAGGGGGCGGCCACAGGGCCTCAGGACGCCAGGATGGCGAAGCGGTCTTACGAGGTGGGCCACGGCATGTCTATGAGGCCGCTGTGGCTGTGAGAGGCCTTGTTCTCTGCCGCAGGCGCCTGGCACGAGGTGGTCCTCTTCGGTGCGCGCGGCGAGGCGGGCGGAGAACGCGTGTGAAAGCGAACTTCGCCCCGTGTCAGGACGGCCGGGCGCGATGCTCGGCTGCTCTGAAGGCGATCCAGGATTTGCTGCCAGAGGCTGCTTCCCTGGCGGAGGCGACGACATGTTGATGCAAGAGCCGCTCTGGTAACAGCAGATGCCATGAATGGCGACTTATGGTCTTTGCTCTACTGATGCTGGCTTTATTGTCTGCACCTGAGCTCGTAATAAGCTACACGCATCTTTGGCAAAGCTTTGTGACATGCACTTCCGCGGAGGCTGGTGCTGGAGAAGTTGTCCTATCGGCACTGTCCCCGGGAACAGATGTTCTTCGTCACTGTGGCAGGGCGGGCCTGCCATGCCTTCTGTTACTCCCAGCAAACAGCGTGCGAGCAGCCGTGGCAACAATCTAATATATAATCTAATCTAATCTAATCTAATCTACTATAATATAATACAACATAATATAATATAATAAGTAAAATACATATAATATAACAATAATAATATAGTATAACGTAATATGTTATAATAAAGTAGAATATAATAATAATAATCACAATAATGATAATAACAATAATAATAATATAACGTAATATGTTATAATAAAGTATAATGTAATAAGAATATAAGATGACATAATATAATAGAATATGACATGAGATGATATGGTATGATGTAATATGATCTAACATAATATAATATAACATAATATAATATATATATATAACACAATATAACTTTAAAAATATAGCATGGTAGAATATAATATGGGATAGTATCGATACTGCTGCTGGAGCGATCTACTGCCAGGCGAACCACCGCCTGACGGCTCACCTGGGGCTGAAGATTCCGCAGGAGATCTCAACAGGTCCAGCTTCGATGACCCAGAAACCCTAAGCCCTAAGAACCCTAAAACCCTATAAACTCTAAGCCCTAAACCCTAAGCGTATTGCCCAGACTACCATACATACATACGTACGTACGTACATACATACAGAGGATGGCTACGGCCCAGCCTTGTGTCTCTGCGATCCCATAAAGTGAATGTCGCCGAAGATTGAGAGGTCCAGACAACAAGCCTGCATGTGGCATCGCTGTTGGAGGCGAATGGAGGTGCCCGGGCCCCCAGTGACGAAGCCCATGGTCACAGGGTCGCAGAACTCGGTCCAGATCTGAGCCAGAACCGTGAAGGCGGAGTTCCCTCAGAGCCAAGGCTGGGAGAAGGACAAGGTCATGATCTTCGATGATTCCTTTGAGCATGAGGCAGAGAGATCAGAGATTCACATCGAGGGCCAAGGGCGAGGGCGAGCTTCGCTGGAGCATTTCAGGTGCGTAATCATGCGGGCTCCACGCGAGTGGTGCTGTGCGAGGCTGAGCTGCGATGCTGCGGAGACTTCCGACAAAACAGGCATGGCATTGAGTGATAGAGCTTCGCCTTAGGCTGATCCGATTCTGGCATCCTTCCCTCGACACATCCGAGAAGAGGGACATGGCACTGGAAGAGATCCAGGCCAGCCCTGCCAGACTCGAGCAGCCACTCCTTTCCGCATTTCGTGTTCTGCGCCATGCCGTCGATCCCAGCTTTGATGGATACCTAGAGATATTCTCGAACTCGAAGCCTCTGCTATGAGCATCGCTGTTTTCTATTGCGGCCGGAGCTGCAAGTATGATCATGTTGATGATAGAACATGACATAATTGTACTTATCTTGGCAGAAATGACCAAACTTCGCACCAGAGCCAGCCGTTGCCTCGACTCGCGGAGGCATCGCTGGCCCGTGCCCAGCGGCTCCGCACTTTGCCGCCCTTGGCGCCGGCCTTTGCGGAACCGGGCCCGACCTTGGAGGCCAGGCTGCCACATGCTGGGTGTGATAAGACTATCTGTCTATCCATCTATCGATGAATCTCTATGCACACATAACTTATGTATATCTCTGTAGAAACTGTCTATACATATATATTTATATATATATATACACACACACACACACCCCTCCTGTTTATTGACGGAAGGAGCGCGAGAGATGGGACCTTGGGACCTTGGGTAATGCGCTTGTGAGGGTGCACACTTGCGACACGGGTTGCCTTCAACTCCTTCGGGCAAGTAGGCAATGGTGAGAGCTCCCCGTTTCAGACAGGAACAGCTGCTGGGGCGCAGTTCTGGCACTTGTGCCAATTGCGGCTCTGCAGAGGGTGGCGCCCCGACCTCGGAGTTGGCCGTACCGGGAGCCTGAGCGAGTCCCGGGGCAAGCAATGTACAGTCATCTACGAGGAGGAGTAGTCTTCAGTGTTACAAGTAATAGCCAGAACGTAGCAGTAGTAATAGTCGTGGCAGTAGTTGATGTCGTCGTAGTAGTGGTAATAGTACTTCTTCGGAGCAGTACGAGTGGTGGCGACTAGTGCTTTGCTGAAATGTTTGTGCACAGACTGCTCACCGCTTCCGGGAGCGCACATGCGCTGTGATATGTGTTTCATATCGTTCGATCGGGTTTTGCTCCTCTTGTGGCACTAGGCCTCGACGGCCGCGAAAACCACTTGGGTACAGAGTGGGCTTTCAGTAAGTTTTGAGGTACAAAGAACAAGATGATGCAGGTTTGCTTGCCCGCCCCACGCCACAATCTCCAGTCCATAACCGGAGTTGCCAGCATCGGAAACATATGTCCACACAGCCACCGTTGGAACAAGACTCTCCTTCACTGAGGACTTGGTGTTGGACGAGGAGAACAGGCGAGTCAGGCTTGTCTGTTGCTGGAGCTACCTCTTGGAAGTCCTGTGTCTACACATGATCGTTTCAGTAGCGCAGAATGCCATGTGACTACTGCGTGTTCGGTCGATTGGTTGGAACTTCGGTTCTCCATAGCATCTGCGGCGGTGATAGCTGCCTGACATTGCCTGGAGGCTGGTTGGTCGCTGCTGCGGACACGTAGTTCTTTGAGCAGGGCTACAACACTGGCGTGGAGTCTTGTAGCAAGGCGCTGCGCTGCCTACAAACAAGGTCCATGAACACCAGTCTGCTGCCCCCAAGCAGCATCACGAAGGAAAGTATGTATGCCTTGGCTGCAGGTGACTTTGGGCATGCTGGCGGGCGACTTCACTGGAGCCAGGTGTGTGGCGATTCAGTGGCGCTGCAGCAAAGCAGCCACGGCAATGCTCAGCGCCGACATCATGTGCAGCAGAGGCCCCCGATCAAGTTGGTGAGGCGACTGTACGATGAGCCAGCCGGTGGAAGGACCAGCAAGCAGACGATTTGGCCGCTCTGCATTCCGGAGCACATCCCGAGCAATTTCGGCTGATGCAGAGGCGCGTCCCGATCAAGAAGGGTATTGGAGACAGGCACAGACCTGTCTGAGTGACCAAGCCGCTTGCCAAGACCGTTTTCAATCGAAAGTCTGTTATCCTCTGAGTGACTGACACCGGATGATCTCCTCGCTGATTCTCGGGAGGCACCAGGAGGAGATTCGGATCCGGAAGAACGCAGGACAGTGGATCATGCTTCGGAACACCTGCCTGTGCCCGCACACATTACGGTGGCCCGAGATCCCTTCGGAACTTCGCCCATCAGCACTTTGCGATTTTAGTTCTGTCTTCAGATGTCTCTGGAGCTGCATGAGTACATGAACTCAGACTGCATCAGGGGTCGTGGCCAACACGCCACGAGGATTGGCTGTGTCTGAGTCTTGACCTACTTTAACCTGCCAAAGCCTACTTTTTTTGTGGGTTCGCATTATACACCCTAATATGGAATTTATAGGGACCCTACAAAGAAGTAGGTTTTGATGGGTTAAGGTAGACAAGAGCCCTCCTCAAATATTCAGAGACCGCAGCGGCCATCGGGCTCGACTGACTTTTCAGAAACTCCTCGAAGGAGAAGTGCCGCAGTGCCCTGCAGTGCCCTGCAGTGCCATGGAGCCGGAGGTTGTCGGACGGAAGGCTGAGGAACGTAGCGAGTCCGAAGCCTGCCCGGCGCAAACAAACCTAGACCGCGTTGTGGACTTCATGAGCTCTATGGAGACAAAGCGACCCGATGTGCTGCGGCGCACTTCTGCCTGGCAAGCAATCCGTGCAGTGGCGCTGTCTGATGTGACCGCAGTGAATGCAGATGGCCTTTATGCCCAGAGTGTGGTGACACAGCACATTGCCCAGTTTTGGTCGCACTCCTGGCACGGCAGCAAACGACAGAAGGTTTGCACACTGCTGCTTGTGAATAACGGGTTGGCAGCTCTTTGTGCTGGCACCTGCGCGGCTGTACTGACAGCTTTCTTCCTGTCGGCTGCAATGGGGCAGACGGCAGAAGAAGGTTCAACAGAGACTACTCTTCAGGGGCAGTACCATCGAATTTATGCAACTTCACGCCCGCAAGCAATTGCATGCAATCTGTCCGGTCTGCTTGTTGCCACCTTCCTCTTGCTGCTGTGGAGGCCTGGGACCTCTGTCTTTCTCGACCGCGTATGTGTTCATCAGTCCGACCGTGAACTGAAGTTGGCTGGTCTTGTTAGCATGAGCGCCTTTCTGAAGCAGTCTCAAGTACTGACGGTATGGTGGGACGCAACATATTCCAGCCGACTCTTGGGTCGTTGTTGGGCAAGATTTTGGGATTCCCTGGTGCGTTGGTGCTTCGAACTCCAAGCTTCCTCCATGTTCCTTCAACGAGTAGGGAGGTTTCATCTCGAAACATGTACTGTAACAAATGGTTCATCTATATATATATATGTTTATTTATTTATTGTATTATATATATATGTATATGTATATATATATATTATTCATAATTGGTTAGCAGGCTGGCATTGCTGTCGACTTGGCCACTCAGGTCTCTGGTGCTTGTTTGAGCTTGCTGCGTACTTGAAAAGCCACAGCGGCCAGGAGGCGAGACTATCGGTCAGACCCGTTTTCCTGGGCCCTCTGGCGATGGGCATCTTTCTGGGGTTTTCCTTTGCAGTGCTTGGGGTAATGCTTCTCCCGAGAGCTGGCACAGAGAGCGGGACAATACTCACCAGGATCGCTTTGACCACTGCGGCGGGGTCCGCCGCCTTGTGGTATCCACTCTCTACCTTGCGGAGGTTCTACCGCTCAGTAGATATGATGCATGCGCAGATGCGCGACTTTCGCATGGACTGGGCTGCATAAAAAGTTTTGGGTACGCACATGTTAGAGCCTTAGGCCAGGCTTTGCAGGTTCTTTCGGTAGTCTCCTGCTGTCAGTTGCGACGTCCATGTCAACTGCATAAACCATAGATGCAATGTAGTGGCCTCCCGACCAGGACAGTGCGACTTGCTACTGCTGCTCCAGTGGGCATGAAAATCGGATGCTGTGCGATCGTCAGATCATTGAGCGATGCATTGTGGAATGGTTTGGTTCTTTGGAAAGCTTTGAGCAGACCATACAGACGACTGTGTCCAGCGCTCTAACTCAGCAGCTGGGAAAGTATTCTTTCCCGGTGTCTTGGATGTGGGGTTGCTCATGTCCGGTGTTGTGGACCTTTCTTGCCCCAGCCATCCGCCAGCCGCTCGTTGGAAGCTTCTTCATCCTGGGCTGGATGATTGCTGTTCCAGTGATTTTCATGATTGGTGCCTCGCTTGCCTACAAGCTGCGTGGACAGCGGCTCAACCATTGGCTTGACGGGGCTTCTACCCTCGTGTGCGCTTTGGCCTGTGTTTTCAGCTACATGGGCATGGAGACGCTTGCAAGCGTCTTGTCCAGTGCACTGCAGACGTATTGGACGAGCGTCGCGGCCTTCGCCGCATCGATGTTGCTGATCATGCTTAGCCTTTGGTGTTGCTGGCAGCGGGGGTCTCTTGACAGGATCAGGATGAAGCCACAGAAGGCGCCAGTCAACAACGAGGTCAAAGTGCCTCCGAGGATTGAGAGTCTCTAATTGACTCTGATTTGGATGCTGCTACGGCTTAAAGCATGGCAGCACCTCAACTTCTGCATATCTCCGAACTGTACAGGCGAAAGGTGGATCTGCTTACAGAGGTCTGTTCTATATTCTATAGGTCATAGATCATGCAGGCAAGAGGGCAGGCAGACCACGGAGTTGGACCATCAGGCAAAATGGACGCCAAAATGTGCTAGTGCCTCATCCGCATGTACAGCAGTGATCCCTAAACCCGCAAAACCGCCTAAACTCCTTAACCCTAAGCCCAATATTCGAGACACATAGGATGGCGGAGCGATGGAGGCTCTGCTTCAAGGCAGCCCGTCTTTGACCACCTGTCGGCCTTCGGTTTCGCGGCGTGTGGCCACAGCAACTGTCTGCACTACTCATGAGGAGCCATCCCAAGAGCAAACTGCAGGCACTACGCTGCGAAATCTGGAGAAGGAAAAGCCTGGAGAAGGCGATATCTCTGAGAGCTTGGCGGAGGCGTTTCCGTGCCCTCACTTGGAGCCGGAATTTCCATGCCCTGGAGGTTCGTTCCCCTGCTTAGGCTAGAATGCGAACGTGAAAAGGCCTGTTGAACAGTCGCTTTTCACAATGCCCCGCCTTTATTCGCTGGAAAACACGTTCTGGCTGGTTTTGACATTTGCATAGTAGCCCAAGTGCGGGCGTCATTCAGAGTGCGAGCCACATTTGGACTTCTATTTTCTGTGGGAGTAGCTTGCGAGGCTAGATCACAGTGTTGCGACTTTCACAAGTCACAAGTCTGTGCATTGAGTGCAGACATCCCGGGGCCTTTGCATGTGATTCTTGTGTGTAGCCTTGGGCTCGAAGAGCAGCTTGTCGGACCAAAGCATTGCGGCGGATGAGATGGCACTTAGAGGCGCCAGAGGTGGCATGGCCTTCCTCCTAGCTTGGACCGTATCTTGCCCCAAGTGGCCCAGGCCCCTTCCCCTGTCGTTTCGTGTTGTTGCAAACATGATCATCGTCATCTTGCGACCGAGCATGACCGAGCAGTTCGATAGCACTGTCAGCGTGTATGTTGAGGCTTTGAGAGCGCTCCCCTTTTGGTTAGCAGTTCTGGTATTCTGGTAGTGAAAGGACGGTTGTTTCCTGGGTACATAACTTGGAAGACATCAGTTCACAAGCCCAACCGCTGTCCCAGGCAATGTTGGCTTGGGTGCATGGCAAAGAGCCGCGGAATGCAGATCTCAACACCTGCCACAGCACGGCATGCAGGCTCACAGTCTCATCCAAGTTTACAGACATGCATGTTGCCCCTGATGCCAGTCGCAACAATGGCACTGTGGACGACACAGCGTTGTTGCAAAACAAGCTGGGCAGAGGTTCTCTGCAGGCCTCTTGCAACTTGCAAGTTCAAGCGGGCGAGTTTGAGAAGAACGGTTTTGAGTCTGCTGAACTGGATCCCGGAAGGTTTTATAAGCACAAGGAAATAGAAACATTAATTATAGTAGAAGCCAAAAAGTTGGAAACCCAATAGCCTCAATCTCGAAGAGTAATGTATAGGGAATCCCAGCGCTATTTGTCCTTAATCCGGTTTCCAACTTTTTGAGGTTTACTATATGTGTCATGAATAAATGCATGCATGCACCCGTCCATCCATCCATGCATCCGTCAATCCATCCAGGCATCGGTCCATCCATCCGTCCGTATACAATTCGTAGAAATCCACAGATAGATAAAATTATCCAGACATACATACAGATCTTAAATTCTTATCGACACACTCCCCAAACTTAAAAGTACTTACTTGTTTTGGGACAGTATCAGAGACAGAGAGAGGAAGCAGCGAAATCACGACAGCATATCATCGCATCATATAGACGGAAGAACCTTCATTGAAAAAGCCTTTGAACATGTTTGCGGGAATTACCGAAGAACATATGGTAAGCCATATCTTTAAGATATCCGAGTAACCTGATATCATGTGTGAGAACACCCATGACGCTGTCAAGAAGTAAAAAGAAAACGAGTTGTCCCGTTCCTTGAAGGCCGAGCGCCGTCCACGCCGCCGTCGGTCAAGGTCCATTGTTCGCACATGGGAGTAGCTTTGAAACAGTGTTTGTTTAGTATGTTTAGTGGATTTGCGCCTCACTCTGATGTAAGGTCGGGGACCTGTTTTGAAAGGACCTGATGTTTACTTTTTTGGTAGAACTTGGCGGATCAAGCAGATACGACAGGAATCCCAAGCACTAAGCAGAAGAGAGGCCGTGGCGTCGACGCCGGCGCTATAGCTACTATCAGCCAGCCACTGTGCTGCAAGGTTGCGTCCAGTCTTGCAGTTTTTGCAGCCCCTCGACGGTCTTCAAGGTTACATGTGCAAATGGCAGGGCGTACAAGGCTTACGTACAACATTCCGCAAGAAGCTAGGTTTCCTAAGCAGCCATGCCCCTATGTCATGAACAACTGAAGCTTGCAGAATGAGTTGTGGTTCGTCCACTCACAGCCTGGACTATCTGGCATCTATCCTATAACTTCTACAACACTTCATCAACCGGCAGTGGTCAGACTGATGATTTGTTTTGTCTAGCAAAGGTTGATCCCTGCGAAAGCTGTGATATTGATTCCGACTCTCTTCGAGGTACCCGTGCCAACAACTTCCGAGGCAGGGCCTTTTTTCAAGCGTTGGTGGGCCTCTCGCTTTGGTTGAATGAGCACTGATCTGAAGTCTCATGCTGTTTTGCAACATCTGTTCCAAGCATCCGTCTGAGCGACTTCAAGAGGCTGGGAAGCAAAGATTTGTTTTCACAGGTGTTTTAGCCGTTCAGTGTGAGCCTTGATGCACGGTTCGCCGTCGTTCTGCAACGCCTTTCGAGGCATCCGTGTCAACGACTTCAACAAGCTCGGAGGCAAAGCTTTGTGTTCAGACGCGAACCCGACCCGGTATTTTCGATGATCTTCAGGCGCCCGTTGTGCCAACCACCACGACAGCAACACCTGCGGCTTGTTTGCAGTTTTGAGCCTGAACATGCCGTGTCGGGGAGCTTCATGCCTGCAAACACCAACTATCACCTACCACATTGTCCCAGAAGAACCTATTTAGGGCAGACGGTTGGCCACAAAACTTTCAGCTCCTGTTGTACGATAAACCTGTCAGCCTTCAGTCAACTGCCTGGTCGCAGTCTTGACAGCAGCTACGCCATTGCAGCAAGTATAGACTGAACACCCGCGCATGTCAAGATTCATGGCGAAGAATGCGTCCCCTAGTCCAGTCATCTATTTTGCTCGGCTGAGATACACCACTCTTTGCCGGGAGATTGCGAGTAGTCGCAGGGATCTCACTGTCTTGAAAAACAATCACCAGCTTGAGGCTCCGCCCATGTGGACGCTGGGTGAACTCCATGATACCTGCAATGACTACTGCCAGTTTCTCGGCTATTCTGGCTGTGACCTGGCCGAGATGGAGACCGTAGACACGGAGGAGGAGCTTGCGGTGGAGATGCAGAACTTGGGAAAAACCTGCCTTGTCAACGGAAGCATCTGGAATGAAATCGCAACCTACGAACCTGAGCCGTCAGGGTGCTACCTGAACAGGAACGCACTGGACTGCGACTCGAACAGGCAGGAAAAGCATCAACCCTTGTGCTACTGCATTGGCACGACGACGACAACAACACCAGCAGCTCGTCCCAATGTAGCTCTAGACAGTCCGTTCCCGCGATAAATCATTGCAGAAGCAGTCCATGCTGTTGGGTAATAGACCACATGACGTTCAAAAGCGTTCCGATTGATTGAAGGGGCTTTGGCTTCGGGTCCGGGCAGTTGACAAAACCTGAGGTTGACCTACGTAGATGATTTCGACAGAAGTCCCTTCTGAGCAACCCTGCGCCTTGACCCTGCAGCCTAAGCATTCTAACAGGTTTTGCACCAGGCTTTCCGGTACTCTCTGCATTTGAGCTCCGGCCAGACTCAGAGGTAGCAGAATCATTCCCGTCGTGTCCAGTCAGAGTTCCACAGATCCGAAAATCACCACGTCTTGACCTACCCGTGTGATACGGCCCAAAACAACTACTGCTGCGACTGGTACTGCCGCTGCCAGTGCCGATGCTACCGCTACTGCTACTACTACGAGTGACCACTATGGCGACGACGACTACTACTACGACCACCACGACTACCACGACTACTACCACCACTCCTGCCCATCCTGCTCCTGCTTTGTGCGCCTGTGCCTGCTACCGCTGCTGCTACTGCCGCTGCCGCTGCTGCTGCCAAAACCACTGCCGTCGCGACGACAACTGCTAACGCCACGACCACCACGGCAACCACGGCCACTGTCACCACCACTGCTGCTACTACAATTTCTACGAGTGCGAATACGACCCTCGATGAGGCGACGAGGAGGACGACGACGACCACATTCTACTACATACTGGTTCTACGGACTACATCTAACTACTTTTGCCATTACTACTACCACCACCACGACGACGACGACTACTACTGCTGCTACTGATACTGCTTCTACTGCTTCTGCTGCTGTCGCTAGAGCTGCTAGCGCTGCTGCTGCTGCTGCTGCTGCTGCTGCTGCTAGCGCTGCTACTAGCGCTGCTGCTGCTAGCGCTGCTGCTCCTGCTTCTGCTGCTACTACTGCTACTGCTGCTGCTGCTGCTACTACGGCTACTACTACTGCTACTGCTCCTGCGACTGCTACTGCTACTACTAGTACGACTACGAGTACTAGTACTACTACGAGTACTAGTGCTACTACTACCACCCCCACCACCACCACCATGACTACTACCACTACTACTACTACTACTACTACCACCACTACCGCTACCACTACCACTACCACTACGACGACGACGACTACTGCTACTAGTACCACTACTACTACCATTACCGCTAGCTCTACCATTACCAGTACCACTGCCACTACCACTACCACTACGACGCAGACTACTATTATTATTACTATTATACCTACTACTACTACTACTACTACTACTACTGCTGGCATAGTGAGGTCACTGGTCAGCATAATGTCCTTTGGGTTCAGTTGGTTACCTAGCTGTCCAGTGCAAATGCTTGGTTTCAATAGTTGGCAATGTTCATAGCGCGCAGCCAAGCAACGATTGTTGCGTTTGGGTCGCAATCTCAAATTTGGGATGTGGAAGTCTCGAGTGTTTTCTGCTCCACTTGCCGACAGGTCGGATGGGTCTTGGGCGAACTCCACGACACCTGCAATGACTACTGCCAGTACACTGGGTATGCTGGTTGTGACTTCGAGAGGATTGTGGAGATCAATCGGATCCCACGCGCTCGGCGCCTGTTGGAGAGTCTGAACTACACGTGTGATGTGAGTGATGGAGACTGGAACGACGTGCCCACTTACAGACCAGATGTGGGTGGATGCTACTACAATCGAAATGCCTTAAGTTGTGATGCGAACAGGAGGGAGGAAAATCAGCCCGTGTGTGCGTGCAATGGCACAGCTCCACCCCCAACTCCACCAGCCACTTGTCTCGCAAGGGGAATTTCGCGGATGGCCGGAGTTCATTCTTGTGCTTGTTGTTTCTAGCGGCAGGTTTGCATCTAGAGACTAGACTGGAATCAAATCAGACAATGCCGAACTCAATGCTAGGGCCACCTATCGTACTCTAGGGCCATGTGTCGCACAGGTCGGATGGGTCTTGGGCGAACTCCACGACACCTGCAATGACTACTGCCGGTACACTGGGTATGCTGGTTGTGACTTCGACAGAATTGTGGAGATCAATCGGATCCCACGCGCTCGGCGCCTGTTGGAGAGTCTGAACTACACGTGTGATGTGAGCGATGGAGACTGGAACGACGTGTCCACTTACAGACCAGATGTGGGAGGGTGCTACTACAATCGAAATGCCTTAAGTTGTGATGCGAACAGGAGGGAGGAAAATCAGCCCGTGTGTGCGTGCAATGGCACAGCTCCACCCCCGTCTCCACCAGCCACTTGTCTCGCAAGGGGAATTTCGCGGATGGCTGCGTCCGTTGCTTGTGGTTGTTGGTTGTTGTGCAATGTTTCGCGTTGTTAAACTAGGCAGCAAATGCGACTAGCATCTAGAATTATGCAACGTTGAAGGCTCTACTGAGCCGCCTATGACATGTTTGGGCCATCTGTCGCACAGGTTGGATGGGTCTTGGGCGAACTACACGACACCTGCAATGATTACTGCCAGTACACTGGGTATGCTGGTTGTGACTTCGAGAGGATTGTGGAGATCAATCGGATCCCACGCGCTCGGCGCCTGTTGGAGAGTCTGAACTACACGTGTGATGTGAGTGATGGAGACTGGAACGACGTGCCCACTTACAGACCAGATGTGGGTGGATGCTACTACAATCGAAATGCCTTAAGTTGTGATGCGAACAGGAGGGAGGAAAATCAGCCCGTGTGTGCGTGCAATGGCACAGCTCCACCCCCAACTCCACCAGCCACTTGTCTCGCAAGGAGAATTTCACGGATGGCCGGAGTTCATTCTTGTGCTTGTTGTTTCTAGCGGCAGGTTTGCATCTAGAGACTAGGCTAGAATCATACAATGCTGAAGCCAATGCTAGCGCCACCTATCGTACTCTAGGGCCATGTATCGCAAAGGTCGGATGGGTCTTGGGCGAACTCCACGACACCTGCAATGACTACTGCCGGTACACTGGGTATGCTGGTTGTGACTTCGAGAGGATTGTGGAGATCAATCGGATCCCACGCGCTCGGCGCCTGTTGGAGAGTCTGAACTACAAGTGTGATGTGAGTGATGGAGACTGGAACGACGTGCCCACTTACAGACCAGATGTGGGTGGATGCTACTACAATCGAAATGCCTTAAGTTGTGATGCGAACAGGGGGGAGGAAAATCAGCCCGTGTGCGCGTGCAACGGCACAGCTCCATCCCCGACTCCATTGGCTTTGTGTGCCGCAAGTAGTACCCTTTCGGTGATAGACTTGCCTGTGCTTGCTTGTATTTTTCGGTTGCGTTAGGTTTCGGCTGAAGATAGTGTTGTGCTGCTCAGGATCCGAACTGGGTTTTGGGACCACTTGGAGGCAACTGCGACGCCACCTGCGCCGGTTTAGGCAAATCCTGCGATGCCACCAGCATCGGGGAGATCAATCGGATCCCTCGGGCCAGGCGGCTGCTGCAGAAGATGAACTACACATGCGATGTGAGCGGCGGGCAGTGGAACAAGCTGCCGACTTATGAGCCAGGTGTCGCGGCCATAAAGTGTTGTTGAGGTTTTTCTTTCCAAGTGCTTTATTCCAAGGTATCATCAGTACCAAATTTGTTGCTTGCGGTCCATCATACATGCTGCAGGTACGAACGGCTGCTACTACAACCGGAATCCTGTTGACTGCTCCGTTGACGTTTCTGGCCACCTTCAGCCCCTCTGCTACTGTACGGTATAGAGCTTCACGCTTTGAATCCGCCGGCCTGCGACGCCGGTTTCCACGACAGCTCGAATGGGGTCAAAGGACCTGTTCTATTCCCCCGATTAGATTCCGTTGGGACCAAAAAGGCCCTGAAGGAGGGCTTCAGGCCAATCATTTCGCTCATTTGATCATGTGCTCTAGCAGCAAAGCCTGCGCCTGGCAACAAAGCGTGCCGATTCAAGGAACAAGAACAATATGTTTTCTGAAGGTCAAGAACAATATGTATTTTCAATCCTGAAAGAATATTATATTTATCTAAGCAAGCTAGATAATGTACAACAAGATTACATATTATTATGTTGGAATGATTTTCTATTTGATATGTTGTATAAGCGGTATTTCGTATTAATTCCGTATTAGTGAATTAATTATAATTTTGTTATTTGGTAGTTTTGGTTTAATTTTTTATGATGGAAGACGATTAATTATTTTAAGATATTTTTGTTTTTATTTTTATAAATTCTATACATAGAAGATTATTATTCTAATCTGAATTAAATAATTCTCGGATTCTTCGTTTATTTTTATTCTTCTTTCGTTATTTATTTTTATTTATTTATTTAGTATTTGTTTGATTATATTTATTTATGATTATATTTTTGATTAATTTCTCTATATGATTCTATTAATTTTTGTTTATTTATTTATTTATAAGAGAATTCTTTTTCTTGTATTCTACGCCCGATGGTATGAATAGATACTACAAGAAGATATTTCGATTTCGTATTTTCACATATTTTGAAGTATTATTACGATAGTTAGATAGTCTATATAATTTTCTAATTATAGTGCTGGGTGGGGAGATATCTGAATTATATATGAAATAAAGAAAAACAATTTTGAAATGAATTCTGAAATATGGGTATATTTTGTACGGTCGTGCATATATTAGAAAGAAAGATAAATTTATAAGAAGTTATAGAAAATAGAAAAATCTTGCAAGGTCTTATATATGAGAGAAGGCAAGATAGGTTTAAAAGAACTTATGGAATATGTAAGACTAAAGATAGATTTGAAAAAAATATGGAATACGGAAAAATTTTACAAGATCGTACATATGAGAAGGCAAGATAAAATTAAAGAAATATTGATTATGGAAAAACCCTGTAAGATCGTATAAATGAGAGAAGGCAAGATAGATTTTAAAGAAATTATGGAAATGGAAAATCTTACAAGATCATATATATGAGAGAAGGCAAGATAGGTTTAAAAGAGATTATGGAATATAGAAAAAACCTTAGAAAATCATATATATATGAGACAAGGCAAAATAGATTTTAAAATAATTATGGAATATGGAAAAGTCGCAAGATCGTAAAAAGAAGAAAAGGATAGATCTATGGAATAGAAGAAAATATGAAAAATAATAGATAGAAGAATCCCTGTCATTACCTAAATCTTAATTCAAAAGGATACAACCGAATTAGAATTCCAAGAATCTTAGACCTCCGACCACGCGGGACCCCGAATCCAAATCTAAAATTAAATTGATAATCTTTCGAGAATGTATTTTAAAGAGAAATTAAAATTTTCTTTAATTTCCAAAAAAAATCATAAATACAAAGTGCCGTTATTCTAAGATTTTGAATTTTTCTAAAGTCTATATAATCTTTATAATTTATATATATATTTTTTTTTCTCTCTCCATATTATTTTCTCGATATTTATTATCATTCTATTCCCGATAAATTCATAAATCTTCCCTCTCCATCTATCTATAATAATCTCTTCGACTCATCCTCCCCAGAAGATTAGCCGGATCTTCTTTACGATCCATTTACCCTCCCTCGCCTCATTCCGTTCCATGTTATTCCTTCCAACCTTCAACCATCCATCATACCAAACGACTCCCCTCACACTTCCTTTTTCCCGCCACACTCCCTTCACACCACTCCATGAGATCCCCACAAATACACCCCCCCCAGGCACGCCCTCGCCTACCATTCCGATCCCATGCAATACGAGACCTTCAAGTTTGTCGGATTTTGAGAATTTCGTACTCTCCAATCTGGGAATATATCCAAATAAAACTAAAGAGGGGCAAGACCAAGGACCCGTGCTATTACTCTTCAAGAAATGCCACCTATAACTAACATCCGTACAGCGCACGGAAATAACACAAATATCGGTCTCGTAATCCTAGCCTGAGAAGAGATGGCATGCTGCCCGCATTTTCGATATGATAGATCAATCATATCAGAGCAAAATATCAAGAATTAAATATATTCATAATTAAATCAAATTGGAATAAATAATATTCTCAAAGGATCCATATATCGATTATCAATTATGAATAGATATATGTTGACTTAGAAAGATAAATTATGATTATTTCATATATAAATTACATAAGATTATGATATATTACGAGGTCTTACCTATTAGATCATTTACTATATGAGAAGTAACGATATAAAATATTTTTGATTATGGCACTAAATTACTAATTATCTATCGTTTTATTGCTTCTTCACGAAATAAAGGAAGCAACAGGTAGCGTAGGTCAGCTCGCAAAATCTTTATCTATATAAATAGTCGTATATTTTCAGCTCATCTTCAGATGATCGACTCACGGGAGTGAGCAGATAGCGAGGGTTGGATCTCGTGAAATTTTAGAGATCATCGGCTTGGGCAATGGTCTCCAAGTAAATCAGTCATAAAATAATATCTATAAATCAGCCATAGATAATACGACCCATAATTTCTAATATCGACATATTTAAATATCCACGAGATATCAAAAAACGCCAGGAATAAATATAAAATTTCCAGGATAAAATAATCATAGATGGCAAGCTCAAAGATATTAAAATTCAATCTCTCAAGATATATCTCTCTCAGACCTTTTAGAGGTCTCATATAATCGCATCATCCCAACTGTATCTATAAGATTAGATCCGAGACGAAAGTGTAAATAAAAAAAATCTTAGATTTCGAGGCTTGCTATTATGAATTAGATAATCACGATATATGTTATTTTAATCTTTGCTCATAGAAGAAAATATTATCTTGAAATTCAGAATAAAGACATCTATTTATAAGATCATAAGAATAATATAAACAAATTTCCAATTTCTTCTTGCTTTCTAAATGACGACTAAGAAAGTCGAAATTAAAAATTCTTTTTTAAATTTAAGAACAAATAATCGCGAGCTCCTCAATATCTTCAGAATCCGAAAATTTTCATAATCTCGCATCAAGAACCATCAAATATAAAAAGCATAATAATATTTTTATGTTCAATAATCAGATTATATTGTAATAATATATAGATATATATCAATACTAAAATTTTAATTAAAAAGATTTATCAAATATATTCAATCCTCTAAATTCCATATATAGAATAATTAAAATTCATACAGTTCAATTATAATCATAAATTAAAAGAAATCATCTTTATCAATAAAATCTTATTTTTTATATAAGCATAAAAAAGTCTCTTAAATGAATCTAGCCAAATCTAGCCAATACCCAATAATCTCGGAAGAAATCCTAGGTTATTCAAAATTTGCCGCAGCACACAAATAGTAGTATCATGGCGGAAATGCGGCGCATAAATTGAACTATGTTCGTAGGAATGAAATTTCGTTTGGGGCTCCAATCTTACCGTTTGTTGATTTTTTTGCTTCATAAATAGTTGGCCGCAATTCCAAACAACCACGGGACAGCGAGTAGTAGTGGCGCGACCCCATGATGCTTGGGATGTCAGGAATTTCGAAATATGATTGTAGTATGACTATGAGCACGGGACCCAGACGTGAGCATAAGTTCCACCAAAATCAATGGAAACTTCCTCATCTTTCCATGAAGCGAACCTCCCTAGAAGACGTAGTTGCAGAGGGATCGTAGAAACTTACTATAAGAACCCATGGTTCTACCAATGCCAAACTGTTTGGCCTGCATGCATAGAATCGATCCATTCACAAGTTGAGGGACAGTGATGGCAACTTACTTGCATGTCTTTGAATTGGCGACAGTCTTTTCACACGTCGTCAGCCAAAGCTACTCGTGGCTCCTCGTCGTGTTCCCCGCACGAAATCAGCCAACTTATCCGCACTCCTGCCTCAGTTTTGCACACAGAATTGCATTCTGAACCTCTGACAATTGAGAACTCGAGAAGCGCAACGGCCAACGCATCACACAGCTTTCGTCGAGGTACGCTTGTCGATCGGCACCTCCTTAAACTTTTGCAGTGTCCACTTCCAGCCCAGCATCTCCGGTCTCAGAAGTCCTGGGACAACAAGTTCGCAGAGTCAGCTCTCTGCTTGCCTGGCCCTAAGACCCTAAGAGTTATGTGACAGCATTCTCAAATCATAACTTACTTCATGGTGGCACGTCGCCTCCCGATGCAGAGCAAACTGTGACTCGGTCCAACACTGACAGCAGACCAGTAAATCACTGACGGCAGTCTGGCAAAGCAGAGTCGAAAGTCAGCCAGGACTCGCTGGGCCGATCTTGCCTCTCGACGCAGCGGAGCTCCTGTTCAAGGACTGTGAGACAGTGGCACCCGCAACACATCCTGCAGACACGCAAAGATCTACCGAATCTACCGCGACCTCCATGCCAGGAGAAGCGGTCGATCTCCCCATCATCCTGCCAAAGGATTCCGTTGCAGAACTCTGATCACCCGAAGCATGGAGCCGAAAAAAATTCGCTTTCCGCAATTCCGGGTGCTCAAGTTTGATAGAACCTGAAGCTCCAATGCCCTGTAGACCCTACGAGTACCAGCTTTGCGAAGCCCTGTGGCCTGTCGTGTCCAGAAGATGCAAACGGAGCCTTGAGAGGGAGTGACCTGGGACGCAGTGCTTTCCCTTGTGCTTGCCTATGTGTAGATAGACCGGCTCCAACCCAGTGCAAACAACAAGATCAGCGACCGCATGATGCCAAACTTGGGTTTTCTAAGAGGCATCCTGAAAAGATTGAATTCAAACTACTAGCGCAGCCGCTTCTCGCATTGCTACTCTCTCACTGCC